GGGGGTTGTTGCAGATCAATCTCTCTTAGAACAAAAGTTCCTCACTGACTTTAATTCAGTTCAGACCATCTGGTATTTCCGAATGTGAATCACATACTGCAGTCATGGACTCTCACCAGAGAACAGAGCATAATGTCCAACTATTAACTAAGATACTTGAATGGACAATGTTGCTATTATGCTGTATACTAGATAATAGCACAAAGCTTACAAGTTTCTTTCTTTTCATTCAAATGTGTCAATAAATCCTTACAGCATTTACATTGTTTGGGGGGTTCTCAAGGTGGTTTAATTGTTAGCAAGCTTGTCTCTCTAGAACAATTATGACAGTGAGTTCAATCCTCACTGGGTGTCCCATACTTTCGGCCTTGTGCCACACCTAAGCTACTGTTATAGACAAGTGTATGGTTGCAAGAAAGAAATACGACAACAGCAGAAATAGATTTACATGATTTATTTCAACAGGAATGTGTGGGTTTGGGACAGCTAACTTGTGGTAAAGTTCATAAGCCGGCTTCAAATCTGGGTTGATCTCTTATAGTAGTTCACACTGGTTGGCGCTGGCACTCCCCCTGCTGCTGACCGCTCAGCCTGACCGTGACAGGTCACTTCCCTGGCCTCCTGTTGACTGCCTGTTGTACTTCTGTGTGACCCCTTTTATGGCGTTTTTTTATGGCTTAACAGGCTCAAGAAACGACACGAGTATAATTAGGAGGGAAGCATTTTTATTGGTTGAAAAATAGAAACACTTTAAAATATTATTTTATTTTTCGATCGGAACTCGTACGTCGGGAACATGTGTAAACGAAGGCCTGTGATGGGGCCTTATCCCATTCACATCCGGCTCTCGCTCTTGAGTATGTTAGTTTATTTGCCTGTAAATCAGCCGAGATATGTCTTATTTTATTTTATAACACTACACTTGGAAAATCATTATTTACACTGAACTGTTGTCTTCATCTTTTTTGTAATATTCACAACGTTTCAGCCATTGTATGCTCTGTCCTTCATCAGGTAATTGGAATTTTGAACCAAACCTTTTATTTCATCCACTGGGGTAGATTGTCCTCAAGGATACATGGCCTAGTGGATAAAAACGTTGGTTGAAGTAATTCATTAACTTGACCCAAATTGTTGTGAGTTCAATACCTGGCCAGAAGCGGAAGTGAACAAAAATTTCGAGATTTGAGTTAAAGGAAAATAACTGACACTGAGATATCTGGAAGAGGCATGGCATGTGGAACTAGAACAATCTACCCCGGTGGATGAAATAAAGGATTCAGTTTGAAATTCCAATCACCTGAAGAAGGCCAGAGCGTACAACAGGCGAAGTATCATGAATATATCAGCAAAGATGAAGACAACCGTCTGAAAATAATTACAATATCTCATCTCAGAAATATAGACAAATCCTTTTGTGTTTTATGAGATACAGTCTTTCTTTTATTTTGTCAGCCAGTTTAATACTTCTGTTGATATTTAAAAATTACAAAGAGGCAGTTGTCAACATTACAGATCCCTTTACAAATAAATGGTGGCCATTGATATTGGGACCCTCACCACTCCAACAGCCCCAGCTAGAATTAAAAACTTAGTTTTGGATATTCTTTTATCTATTGTTATGAACAATTCCTACAATAAAAAAGACAAACTCAAGTTTAATAATTCTAATTAACAGGACTAAGAAAGAAGGTATTATGGCTATTTAATTAAAGATTTTTTTTTTGTTGTTATCATATAAAAATACTCCACTTATAATGTTTACAATATAAACTTTGTTAGTATGAAAAAGGAATCCAAGGTCACTGACTCATCTGATATGAGACAGAAAAAAGCCAATAAAAACAATCAGTTATTTACACTTGAAAGATGATTGACTGGTGATATTGTTGTGCAAATAGTATGTGATTTGTAATTACTGCTGAGATATATGATAAAGCACAATGGAAATCCCCTCACATGGTAAGACTGGCTCTATACTCAACAGTGTGTCTACATGGTTAACATACAACATATATTCATAATGGAAATGGATATGTTGCCAAGGTAGTTCTACAAAGTATTGACTCAGGGTAGAGGTCATTACCTATGAAGCTAACTTAACAATTGATTCAATATAATCTTTCTACTTCATGCCATCAGAAAATGTTACTCTGAAAAGGTAAAATAAGTCACTCTCCTGGAGGTTAGCATCAGCCATGCTGATAGAAAGCAAAAAAGGCGATTAAAAGAGAGCAGTTTCGTTTTGGAGTTAAAATTAACAAGTCATTTCTTGCTCCAGTTAACAATAGATTGTAGTTCATTTTTCAGATCAGCTGCCAAGTTCTTATGGAAGCAATCAAACAAGAGTAAATAGTTGTGTCATCAGCAGAGATACCAAGTTGAAAACTGATGACATTGAAAACATTGTTGATGAAAATCAAAAACAACATTAATCTAAACATTTGTATTAATGCAAAAACATAAAGAAATGATCATTTAAGACAACTTTCATTTTGCAATTTAATAAGAAAAATTAAATCAGCTGAAAAATTTGTTCAGAAATACTGTAATCTTTCAACTTGGGAAAAACCAACATATCAAACACTGTCAAATGCCTTTAAGATATCCAAAACAACAGTCTGAGTTTTACCATTATCTTGATAGACTCTTTCAGCAACAATTGTTAATAGATCAGCAGTTGACCTAGAGAAGTGAAAGCTATATTACTTGTCAGAATGAAGAGCCTGTGAGGTGAGATGCTTAACCAATTTTGAATTGATTAAAGCCTATAGGACTTTGCCAAAATGAGGTATAAGGCTAGAAGAATCAGACATTATCCTGAGATCTAAAAGAATTATCATCTGAATTTCTGGGATGAGGAGTTATTATTTACAATATTTATGCTCAGACTATTGTCCTCATTTTTGTTCTTGTTATCACAATGTTTTGGCCATTGTGCCCTTTGACATTCATCAAATGTATATTGATCTGTGTAACCTACAGGGGATTCCAAACTGAGTCCTTTATTTAATCTATGGAGGTTGATTGTTCTTGTCTAGGGATATATTGTCTAGTTCTTATTTTGAGTACTGTTCAATTATTGTTCACCATGTTTCCACTGAGTCCAAGTACACACCGTCTGGCTCAGGGATTGAACTCACAATTACTATCTCACCAAATTTTTGAACCAACACTTTAATCCACTAGTTCTGTGATAACAAAAACAAAGATGAGGACAATAGTCTGAATGTAAACAGCATAAGTACAGAAGAGGATTTCCAACAAGCAGAAAAGCAAGAATCAGCAAAGCACTTATTGTAGAGTTTAGAGAGAACAGAAGTCAATTTGAGAGCACTTTTCTTAAGGACTGTTGTAGAGCTACCATCCATTTCACATATTTTGTGGGGATCCAGTTTAGAGATGAGAGCAGAAAGCATAGACGGAGTTATATGCCTATTAGAGACTTAGTTTTAAGTGGAAAGTCAGGCAAAGTTAACCCAGATGAGTAAAGAGTAGAATTGAAAGAGAATTTACAAGCAAAACATTCTGCTTTATCAGCAGAAGATGATAAACTCTCAAATTGAGTGAAGATATGAGGAATAGAAGACTTACTCTTATTTAACACTTACAGAGCTGCCAGTAGTCATGGGAACCAAACTTGTTAAAGGCTATACACTGCCTCATTCTATCAGTGAACAAAGACTTAGGCTCTTTGAGGACATGTTTACAATAATTATGAACAGATATAAAAAAGCATCTGTTGTGATTGGAACTATCATGCTGGTGCAGCTGGAAAAAGTGATTCCTGTGGTCTATAGAAGATGAACAGGCAGGTGTGAACCAAGAAGTGGTTTCACCTGTTATTCTTGAGAAGGTACAATAGTATTGATGCTGGCTTTTACCCAAGAAGAAACCTCAGTGGCACAATTCTCAGTATGAAAGTTAAAAATTTCACTACAAGTATAGTCAAAGAAAATCACAAAATTAATCTCAATCAGTAAAAGATGACTCTAAAGAAATATGAACAGATACTACAGTGTGATCCGACTTACTAAGAGTTGTAATGCTTGACATGAGCTAGGAGAAGAGGTAAGAAACAAATCAAGTAAAGAAACATACTGATCAGAATTATTAGAGAAACAAGTAGGGAAATCTACTATTTGTTTGAGAGGCTGGGCAACAAAAAAATTGTAAGCCTTAATACAGTGAACATCAGTAACATTAAAATGATTAAGCATCAAAATCACAAAACATAAAAAATGTTTGCAGATGGATATAGAGAGAAAAGGACATTTCTATAGTCAAATATTTTGTCAGCTATGTGAGAGTCCTGTGAAGAAGGGGAGCAATAAAGGAAAAACAGATAGTTAATAGCGTGCAATAAAGAAAGTTAAAAACACATGAAAGAGTCATCTGAGGACTCAAGAAATGACTCCCTTGTCATTGGAAGATTTTCCTGGATGTAAACACCAACACCATGCATACACATTCTAGAATCTTGTTGACATAAAGGAAGAGATCCTGGAAGAGTGAATTCATTGTCAGTAATAGAAGAGTGGCTAAAACTAAAATATAATGTAGCCTCAGGGTTGTCCACCGCAAATACATGCAGGAACACCTATCTATACACAATATACCACTGGAAATACCTCGATATTATACAGTTGTTGACCAGAGCAATGTCTCTAAGCACTACCAAAGAGTTTATGCTCCTTACTACCAATCAAAATGCAGCAACCAGAAAACTGCCAACATGGTATTCTCAAAATGAAAAGTCTCATCAAAAAGTTAAGAGTTAAATCATTACATGATGAGAGAAAGGAACCAGTAAACCACATCCTAAATAGGACACCAAGTAATAAACCACTACTCCTGTTCAATAAACATGGAAGGAATATGGGCTGGGCAATGGGTGAACATATCTTCTTGTATTTTTCTATGTCAATTTCTACATATCTGTATATCTAGCAGCAACTCTTCATTATCTATCTACAGTCACTTCATATCTGTATACCAAGCCCCATATCTTCATTATCTATCTATCTATCTATCTATCTATCTATCTATCTATCTATCTATCTATCTATCTATCTCAGTATGTTTATACCTTTCTAAAAACCTATTCATTTCAGTCTATTCATATCTATCTCAGTTTGTTCATATCTATCTCAGGCAGATAATATCTATCTCAGTCTGTTCATATGTGTCTCTCTATCTACCTATCTATCTTATTTTTTATTTATTTTATTTTCAAGTACTGTTAAGAACATTGATTTCATTTCCTTTCATTACTTTTGTTAACAAAATTCTTTGGCTGATCAATTCTTCAGGCATACAATCTGAATGGAGATGAGTGTAGGAAAGGGGGTGTCTATTTTTCTCCAGTAGAAAAAAAATGAAAATGGTGATCAATAGAAAAATAAATTATATAGAAACATTTTCAGAACAATAAAAGCTACTAAAAACAAATCTGATCAATGTCCAAACTACTTTTGAAATGACTCATTTTAAAATGCAGAAGATAAAAGCATTAGATAGATATAGAAATGTATATAATATTACAAACAATTGTAAGAATAATAATAGATGGATGCATTCTCCTGTTGAGAGTGGTGGGTAAGGGTTTTTACTGAACAACCTGCATAAGTGAATTGTTTAGAGTATTAAATTGTCTGTACCCTGCAATGCACATTCTCTTCATCATAGTGCCACACCCTATTCTGGTGCACTGTGTGTCACATGTCAAGATATGTCTTGTAAATTTTAGCATCTCCAAAACAAAACTGCTTTTATTAACTCAGCACAGAGAACCTTTTTCTGCCTGCCATCAGCATGGCTGATGTTAAACTCCAGGAGAGCAACACTCGACATCCTCTTAGCCTCACATTTTCCACTGACATGAAGTGGAACAACAAGATCAAATCAATTGCTACATCTGCTGCAAGGAAAGTTGGTTTGCCAGAAAATTTATCTCATCAGAATTGATCTATATTTATTTATTTCTTCTTGCCACTGTGTAATGTACAGTGAAATTGGACAGCAGTTTCCTGGTGCACCAACACACACACACACACACACACACACACACACACAAACATTATCAAATGATAAAAAGTAATAATACTAAAAATATGTTAAAAACTGTCAGCGTGTGAGAGCATTTATTTTATGCAGGGTCCAAGGATAAAATCTGTACCACTAGCACTTTGTCCTTAATTTCTAATTAAATTAAAACAGAATTTTAAAAATTTGAATGTTTAAATTTTGTTGTGCATTATTTTTTATTTGTTCCTACGAAGGGTAATTTTGACAGTTTGGGAAACTGGAACCTTAATTAGAAGCAATCAACAGGATGGATGTTATCAAAAAGGATTCAAAACAACACAGTATTTTGTACTCCTCATGATTGCTTTTTATAACAAATCTGTTAAATTCAACTGTAAAATTCATCATTTTATAGTTGAAATGGCTAGATATAACTGTAAGTTCTATGCTAATAGTTCCTTCCATTGCAATTCTCGCTTGTGGAACTCTCTTTCAGCTTCTTGCTTCACAGTTAACTTTGATCTTAAAAAATTTAAATGCAATATCAAATGTTATCTTCTGTCTTCTTAATTCCTGTTTTTTATTGTTCTCTCTCCTTAATGGTGTTTTTTTCTCATATTCTCTCACACTTAGTAACCCTTTGTATTTTAGCGGCTTTATTGCCTTGCTTGGGGTGAAATGATTAAAAAAACATCTTATAAAGAATGTAAATCTCCTTTAAAAATTAATCACAATAGTTACTAATAAAAGTGAGCTGTGATAATTTATGGAGCCTTTGCTTGTTGTAGGAAGTGTTTCTAGTTAGACTAAAAGCCGTGGCAACAATATTTTGCACAATAAATGACGAATGCAAGGAAATGAATGAATTTACGATATTTTAGATTATTGCTTTTATATAATGGAGTAATAAAAGAGAAAATACACAAGTATGCAGTCAACAGAAAGAAGACATTGCACGTTAGAAATAAGATGGGTGATACATGTGTGTGTGTGTGGAAAAGTTCAGTTACTAACAGGATAGATATCCCCATACCCAGGAACAAGGTCCCAGTTGGTGTTGTTACTTCTAATGCATGCTAGAAGGATGAGTGAGAGGACAGGAAGTGATCCCTTGTTATAAGCGTTTAACAGCGCCCTCTAGTGACGTCTTGTTGAAACTGGCAAAGCTATCAGGAGATAAACCAGATGCTTTTCATTCTTTTTCAAGGCACTTTGATCAAAGATTTAGATTATAGTATTTACATTAGTCGGACTATTGTCCTCATCTTTGTCGCCATATTTGTCACAACGTTTCAGCCGTTGTACGCTCCGGCCTTCTTCAGGTGGTTGGAATTTCAAACTGAACCCTTTATTTTGCTCACTGGGGTAGGCTGTTCTAGTTCCATGTGCCATGTTTGATGGATGTCAGTTATCAGTTATTTCCTGCTGATTTTCCCTCTGAAAGTTCTCCACTGCCTTAACCGGGTATTGAACTCACACTCTTTAGGTCTGTCACTGGATCTAACCAATGCCTTTATCCACTGTGCCAGTTCATTTCAGTTCGAAATTCCAACCACCTGAAGAAGGCCGGAGCGTACAATGGCTAAAACGTTGTGACAAATATGGCGACAAAGATGAGGACAATAGTCTGACTAATGTAAATACTGTACATAATACCTCATCTCAGAAATATAGACAGACTCTGATTTAGATTATGTTCATCATCTCAAATACAAAGGGCTTGTTATTAAATGTAACCTTGAGATGTTAGCAGATAGAGTGGAATTATCATTGTCGTGGAAGCGGATGAGCCTTCATGCAGTATTTGTCCCACAGCTACTGAATAAAAACCATGATGAACAAAATCTTTTATGGACAGTTTTTTTGTCTAAACAAACACAAAGGTTTCCTTGCTAGTTAATTAGTTAATGGTCAGGAGAATTAAAAACATTTCTCGTCAAGCAACTAACATGGCAAAATGCTTTGTTGGAGATGTTTCAGTCTCTTCAGTTTCTTTTCAAATTTTTCATATCAGTTCAAATTATCTTCTTTCAAATTGATGCGTCTTATATAAAAGTAACCCACCATTATTCAGAATAACAGAAAACTTTTAATTTCTGAGTTTCTAGAATGAGAAATTCATATAGAGAATATGAAATAATAACTCCCTTTACCCACCTCCTTCAAATTTGTGTGAGCTAGGGTAAAAGACAGAAAGAAATTTGTGAGCCTATGTGAAATTTTCTTTGGATTGATGAAAACTTAGACTTCACAAAGATTGGCTGGTGAGCTGAGAAAAAGACGAAAACAAATTCACAAACCTATGTGAAGTTTTCTTTGGATCAATAAAAACCTTCTCTTCTCTTCACAGAAATTAGCCATTGAGCCTAGAAAAAGGAAAGAAAAATTAGTGAGCCTATGGGCATTTTGAAATGAAATGTGGAAAAAAGTAAATTAACAAGAGAAGAGTATCCGAAGTCATGTGAATGGTTTTGTTTCTGTTCATGTATCCCGCTTCAAAGTATCAAATAACTCGCCAATTATGTTATTGGCCTTAACCAATCACTTGGCACTTCAAAGAACTTTATTTCAACAATTTAAGAAAGCAATGTATTTCAAACTATCTCTCTTCATCTACTTTTGAACATATGCAAACTATATATTCCTTCTGTGAAGAAAAACTCTCTTACCTTTGTTTTAAACATTTTTTAATATTACTTTGTGTCAGATCATTTAATCTGTTGTATGAACATTTCCTCTTCATAACAATTTGTTGAAACTAAAGACATTAAAAATGTTTGATATATTTTCTTGAGACAAGCTACTGACACTACTGTGTAAATTTGTAAATAAATTTCTTATCTTGTTTTGTTAAAAATAACCTGCGTGTTTCCTCATATTCTATTAACCTTCTTGATATGGGTAAATCAATTGTTCATTCTAACCCTGAAGTCCCATGCCACTATATTATCATTATCTGCATTCAAACTATTATCCTTTGTTGCTGTTATCACAATGTTTCTGCCATATGGGAGACAGCAAGGCTTCAGCAGCAGCAGCAGCAGTAGTAAAATAAAAGAAAATAGAAACCATGGTGAATGCAGCAGCAGTACACAAAATAGAAGAACCTTAGATTTAAGACTGAAAATTCTAGATTCAGGATTGTCCCATGGGACAATAGCATATTAAATTAATGCATTGGTACAGACTGGAAACAGGGCTAGCAATAACTGAGCAATACTAAATAAAAGCAAGATATCCTATGAACAGCAGAATGAGAACAATGTATGTAGATTAAATAAAAGGTTCAGTTTTAAATTACCCAAAGGTAATCCAGATCAGCAAACACTGAGGACACAATGGTCAAAACATTGTGATAGTAATAACAAAGATGAGGACAATAGTCTCAATATAAATACTGTTTCAGTTTCTAATTTCTCATAAGATATCTAATATCAGTCCTAATTATGCTTTTCAAATTGGTCAAGCTTTAGGAATGACAAGAGATAATTTAGTGATAAGCTTGTATTCATTCAAATATATCAATATCTAAAAGAAATTAACATCAGGCTTTTTTCTAATTTTGCATTGATTGATTGATTTGTTTTTTATGGTTTATTAACCCTTTTGCAAGTTATTTAAAGCCAAAATTTTATGAAGATAATAATCATTTGCTGATTACAAGAAGAGTTGGATTCATGCCTTTCCCAAGGGTATTTATGCCTAAGTGAATATAATGAATCTGATGGAAATTGGAACTTGGCTCTCCAATTTTGAGCTGTTATCCATTACACCACCTGCACATCAAAGCATACAGCACCTGGTATTCCCAAGCAGTCACCCATTTACTGACCAGGCTCAACATTGCTTAACTTTGGTGATCATATGAAAACTGGTGTTTCAACATGATATAGCTGTAAGCCTTTTACTATTGTGCAAACTTACATTTAAGTCTAATTCACAAGTGTAGTGATTTTCATTAATACTGAATGCTCCAATACTATGGCCTTGTACCAGACTAAGCTAAACTTAATTAAGAACTCCTACCATCATTCAATGGTTAGTAATCTCATAAAGCAATTTACTTCAAAAGTGTAATGTGTTTCATCATCACTGAGTGCTCCAATACTATGACCTTATACCAAACTAAGCTAAACTTAGTATAGAACCTCAACCATCATCGTTCAATGGTTAGTAAGCTCATAATGCAGTCTAATTCAAAACTGTCATGATTTTCATTAATATTGAATGCTCCAATACTATGGCCTTGTGTCAGAACAAGTTAAGCTTAATTTAGAATTTCTACCATTATTCAATGGTTAGTAAGCTCATAATGCAATTTAATTTAAAAATGTAATGTGTTTCCTCATCACTGGGTGCTCTAATGCTATGGCCTTGTGCCAGACTAAACTATATTTAATAGGTAACCTATAACCTATTTCCCAAGTTTGAAATAATTAAGTATTTTACACTGAATGCCAGCAGTCAGTTTTTAAACCATGATAAAAGGCAGAATTACCAATGCTGATTTTTTTAACCCAGCAAGCTCTCTCTACTTGAGAGATTAGCATAACACAATTCTCCATTCTCTATTTGGTTTTGTGTCATACTAAGCTAAGCTTAATAAATCTAAAAAATTAACATAATATTTTATGTAACTAAGTCTATAAAATTAAATGATTGTTTGGTTATGTGACATTTTGTTGATTCATTTTTACCAATATTTACAAAAAATCTCAAGTTTTAATAATATACAGTTGTACCTCGCTAGTCCAGCACTCTGTGATCTGGCACCTTCCATAGCCTGGCAACTTCCATGGCCTGACACCTTACATTGTCTGGCACCTTCCATGACCTGGTACCTTCTATGGCCTGGCAACTTCTATAGTCTGGCACCTTCCATGGTCTGGTACCTTTCATAGTCTGGCACCTTCTATGGTTTAGCACCTTCCATGATTTGGCACCTTCAATGGTCTGGTACATTCCATGGCCTGTCACCTTTCATGGTCTGACACATTCCATGGTCTGGCACCTTCCATGACCTGGGACCTTTCATGGTCCGGCACCTCCCATGATTTGGCATATTTTGGACCTGCTGTCATTAGTTTGTGAATTTGAAATAGAGACAGACTAAAGTCAACAAAACTCAGCTAACACAGAACATTCTTGCAACTTTGCAGGTACATTTTTTTGGTTGGAAGAAATGAGACATTGTGGTGACATTACTGTAACATTGTAATCAACTATTTTTATGACCCCAAATTGACTGCTCATCCTAAACATTGTCATAATATTATGGTGCTGTAGGGATACAAAAGACAATTATCTTCCTTTTGGTGGAGATAAGTCACATGGGTCACATAATTGCCCCTTAATAATGTCACTCCATACAGTGATGAAAGCAGCAAGTCAGTTTCAGTTGGTTTCAAAGGTTGCTTTATTTATTCCAGCCTCGACATAGATTAAATCTGCCTCCCCAGCAGCTTACAAGTCCATGGTGCTATTTGAATCTGAAGTCCTAAACATGTCTTCTCCAGAAGCACAGAAGAATTTCCATGTTATATATAAGACCTTTCCTTTTGCTTTCTCCTTACACTCTACTCACTGTATAGATATATGATATATTATTCTCTGCGTGGGACACGAGCAAATATGTATATATAATTTTGTGCATGTCTTAGTGGTATAAAAGTCTCTCTGAGAACAAAGCATATTTGGCATTCCTTTTCCTATCAATCATTCTGTTCTATCCATGAATTACAGTGTTATTATATGACAGATATAATAATGCCCATGATGGGAGAAATGCAAATGGGAGAGTAAATCATTCTTCCATAGCTCTCTCCTGTTACAGTGCTATTACTGAGCATTTCTGGTTAATAACATCAGAATACTTTTTCTTCACTTAACAATATGTATAGAAAGTATAAAATTTCTTCTTGTTTTTTTCTGAAAGTCACTGATTTTGATGACAAATGCATGTTCTAATATCTTCTTGGAATTAATTCCCTATTTTCTATCTTCAGGTTTCCTTCTTATTGCACTCCCAGTTCTTGCTGATTGATCTACCAGGAGTATAGTTGACCACTCATATTTGAGGATACTTGTCTACTAGGGCAGCTAGCCAATCCCTATTGCAGACACTTGCTCAGGTGCCTTTGTGTTTATTCAACACCCACAGAGCCTACCTGTAGTTTATACTGCAACTATGCTGAGCAGACCTTAGTTACAGTTTCTAGGAAATAGTGCGTTATCTAGTGTAATCAACAATTTGAACAAGGCCAGCATGCTCAAACTCTCTGCCACGATGACTTGCTATTGATGACCCCCAAAGGTTCCATCTATCGAATTTCACTCACAAGGCTTGGGTCAATCTGTGGTATGGTTTTCAGGCACTTTCCAAAGATGCTGCATTCTGGGATCGACCACTCCAATCTGATAACACCAGGAAGTCTCCTTCCTGACAAATCAACCATGGTGAGATTTGAACCTGGGTCTCATGGTCAGAATGCAAATGTTCTAACCACTCGGCCAGGAGTAGAAACATGCAAATTACCACAATCAGTAGAATTGATGATAATCCTAGAGAGAAAGGAGAAACAAACTTTACTGACAGGTACAGTGACAGGTCAGCTGCTGTTGTGAATGAGGATAACGCCAAAGAGGCTGATGCTCTCATTTCAGCTGACAAAAGTATCACTATTGAAAAACACTGTGAAAGTGTTCAGGTTAGTCATAGTAGCCCCTGTATTTTAGTTTGGTCTCTTCACTAATTAAAGGTCTTTACAAAGTGGGTTCTTAAAATGATGACAGACTATATAAAGGAGCAGTAAGTATTTGCTGTCAAGGAGATTCTGGAGTTGTACAATAATCAGTTTGCCAGTGATAATGAGGTGAAAAAAAGCAAGTCATGGAGTCTTTCCTTGTTGTAGGAAGTGTTTCTAGTTAGACTAAAAGCAGTAGCAACAATATTTTGCACAGTAAATGATGAGTGCAAGGAAATGAATGAATTTCAACAAGATGATATTTTCAATTTTTGTTTTTCTATAAACTAATTAAAAAGAGAGAAAATACAAAAGAATGTAAAAGAAGGAAGAAATTACAAGTTAGGAATTATGTGGAAGATACACATGTGTGTGTGTGTGTGTGTGAAAAGTTCAGTTTCTAAGGAGAAAGACACCCCCATGTCCAGAACAAGGTCCCAGTTGGTCTTGTCACTTCTACTGCATACTAGAAGGAAGAGAGATGGCATGCCTCATAGATGTGACAAAAGAGGATAGAAGATGAGGTGAAATGATTGAAAGACAAAGATTTAGAAAAAGTTTCAAAAAATTTGTATGCCAAAAATAGATATAATATTTACATTTCAGCCATTGTATGCTCTGGCCTTCTTCAGGTGGTTGAAATGTCAAACTGAACCATTTATTTCACTCACTGGGGTAGACTGTTCTAGTTCCATGTGCCATGTCTAATGGATGTCAGTTATCAGTTATCTCCTGTTAATTTCCCTCTCCAAGTTCTCCACTACCTTAACCAGGTATTGAACTCACAAATCCTTGGGTCCTGTCACTGGATTTAACCAACACCTTTATCCACTGTGCCATGTGTCCTTGCATGTACAAGTCCCAGCATAATTAGTTATGAATAATTATTGACTAATTTTATCATTGTGATATTTTAGCATCATATCAAGTATTAAGAATATAGTAACTAGGATCTGCAAATTGGAGGAGAGAGTTATCAATGATAATGTTCTGATTTTGAATCTGCTGTTATCTCACTCTAAAGTTCTCTCTGTTTTTTATTTGTACTTTTAAGCACATAAAATTTGGTGAGGCAGGTGCAAATTTCATTCTGAAAATGTGTCCCAGAGAAAAACAATTTGGGAACCACTGTTATAAGTGCTTAACAGCGCCCTCTAGCGACTTTTTGTTGAAACTGGCAAAGCCAGCAGGGGATAATCCACATGCTTTTCATTCTTTTTTGAGACACTTTGATCATCATCTCAAATACAAAGGGCTTGTTATTAAAATGATTTTCTAAACGTAGCTTAAATGTGACACAAGGCCGAACGTATGGGGCACCTAGTAAGGATCAAACTCACTATTCAGTCATAACTGTTTTAGTGAGATAAGCTTGCTAACCATTACACCATGCTGAGGTGCCCTAAGGGCTTGTTATTAAATGTAACCTTGAGATGTTAGCAGATAGAATGGAATTATCATTGTCGTGGAAGCGGATGAGCCTTTATGCAGTATTTGTCCCACAGCTACTGAATAAAAACCATGATGAACAAAATCTTTTATGAACAGCCAAGGAGCTTCTGGAGCTGCACAACATGAACATCCATCTGCCAATGATGATGAGGTGAAAGAAGCAAGTCCCATAAGATTGTTGATGGATTGGTTTGTTTTTTTTATGGCTTAACTTTTATAGATTATAAGATGAAACATATTTTTGATTGTAAGAACAATACATTTTTTTTGTGAGTGAATCTTGTATCAAAATCTTTTGGGCAATAATAATCATTTTCAGATACAAGTCCTACTAATTAATCCATAGCTGGGAGGAGAAGTTATAGATTCTTACCTTTTTCAAGGCTGTTTGTGCATAAGTGAATGTAACAAATCTGACTGGAATTTGAATTTGGCTTTGATTTCTCATTCTGAGTCATTATACATTGTGCCAATCACACACACATGGATAAGAAAGCTGCCAAGATGTTTCCACAAGGCATATATATATATATATATATATATATATATATATATATATATATATATATGGATGAATAGCACACAAGATGGATAGAGATTATGTTGAGAACTAGATTTGAAATCCTGAGATTTTTGTGTTCATTTTGGTAGGATTTGTGTCCTTCTATGATTAAATCTGTTGTAATTTAAGAAGAACACACA